CGGAGCCTCCCCGCGCGCGCCGCGGAGCCGCCCTTCGTTGTCTATGTGGCTGTCGATCGCCCTGAGTTTGTCAGGATGGGGATGCCGTGGGCGAGAAGCCTGTGGTGACCATGATGTGCCGGCCACAGAGCGCAGGGAAAGGCCCCCGAGCTCTGTGAGGAAGGCTGGGCCTTTGTTCTTTTGCTCTTTCCCAACTTAAAGGGATCTCAAGGACCCAAGTAAATATTGGGGTTTTGTTTGCTTGTTTTAGAGGCTTTTTTTGATTATGGTTTTCGTAAAATTTGCATCTAGATGCAAAGAAAAAAAAATCAAGTTCTGGCACAAAGACTGATGCACTGATGTGCTCAGTAACTAGCTTTCTTTGGTTCTCCTGGTTTTATGTACTTTGGTTCTGATGCTGAGCCACATGGAGCCGCAACACAGAGACTACTGGATGGTCAGCTTTTAGGTAAAGCTTTAAGGTAAAAGTGTTTCAGGCTTATAGATATTGCCATGATCACATAAGCGTCTGCAGCAGGGACCTTAGGAGAGCCCTCAGGTAGGGAGATCAGCGTAGGACAGGGACTCGCAGGAAAATCTCTTGCTGTGTTGTAGGCCTTTTTGCAGAATCGGAGAGCTGTGTAGACCCTCAGTTGCTGTCACAATCCTGATCTGGCTTTTTCTATCTTGAGAGGTTGCAAGATATATTTTTAGAAAGAGTCAAGGCTAATGTGTATAAAGTATACTTTTATCAAAACCAAATGGAGGAATAAATCATTTTAATATTAGAAATATTTTCTTGCTTGTTAATGCTTATAATGCGATTTAAAAATGCAGTGTCTTATGAAAGCTAAAAAAGTATTCTAATGCTAACTCTTTTGTTTTAGGCATCCATTTCCCTTGCTCCTGTGAATATTTTCAAGGCAGGTGCAGATGAAGAAAAGGCTGAAACTGCTCGCTTGGTAAGTCTGATCTCTGAGAACCTGGCAATACTTTGGGTAGTTAAGCTTGATGTTTTTCTACTCTTGGAAGTGCTTTCAGTTTATGATGAACTTCATCTGTCCCCTATTAGTCTTGTTGCATATCTGGGAAGAGAAGGTAGGAAAGTAGGAATGTTTTGTTAATACTGGCAATCAGGAAAACTTGTAAGGGCTAAGGAGCAAAGTAACCTGGACCTTCCATCAGAAGCTTGGCATTCAGTATAAGCCTTGTCTTTGGGTCACAGGACATAATTGTCTTCGCAGGTACCCTAAAAGCAGGTTTGGTCTAGTTATCAAAATGTAGCTGTTAAAACACGTGGAACCATGTTCTGCTGAAAAGAATGTGGCTGTGGAAAGGTTGGCTTAAGATGTCTCCTTGGAAGTCATAGTTCGGCATTTACTACTTATCTTAAAGGAAGATAAACCCTGTTCTAAGGTGTATTATTTGCTTTCATTTCAGTCATCCTTTGTTGGTGCCATTGCTATTGGTGACCTGGTCAAGAGCACTCTGGGACCTAAAGGCATGGTAAGATAGCTGCAGCTTCTTAGCTGCCATACCTGTACATGTAGTATTAATAGTTACAGAATGTTTTCAAGAACTGGTTGTGGAGTCTCCTTCTCTGGAGATCTTCAAAACCCGCTTGGATGCAGTCCTGTGCCACGTGCTCTAGGTGACCCTGTGTGTGCAGATGACCTCTAGAGGTCCCTTCCAACCTTAAGCATTCTGTGATTCTATGAACTAGTCTAAATTTTGCATTTTGTAGGACAAGATTCTTTTGAGCACTGGAAGAGATAGCACAGTAACGGTCACCAATGATGGTGCAACCATCCTGAAAGCTATTGGAGTTGACAACCCAGCTGCCAAGGTCTTGGTTGGTGAGTTTCTAACTGCTTGCTGTTGCTGTGCTTTGTATTTCTCCATTTGCAATTTTATTTTTGTAATTGTCCTTAGCATAGGATTTTTCTAGTACTGTGAAAAATTGGAGGGAGAGGAATTCTTCAAGTAGGGATAGCAAAATGTTGCAAGAGTTTCAGAACTCTGCAAGAATAAAACTGAGGTACATTCTGCTCTTGCAAAACTATTCTGACATAGTGACACTGCTTTCCCTCAACCCTAATCTGTCCCAGGAGTCAGAAGGGACAAAGGCAGCTCTGTGCTCCACTTTCTTCACTAGGAAAGCAGGAACAAAAATGTGCTGAGGTGCAGAGGTTATCTGTGATTCTCCCTGATTTAAATCTTTTTGTTACCTGATTTACACTGTCTCCAGACAGAGTTTACCCCTGTGATCAGTTGTCTTCATGTGCAAACAGTTCAGTTTTAGTGACAAGCAGCACCCTGAGCCGGTTATTCTAGGTTATTCTCCAGATTTTGTGTTTGCTGAGGTTCTGTTGGTCAACAGATTATGCTGCGTATGTGGTTATCTTATTCTGTGATCCTGTTTGTAAACCTCAGAGCTTCTCTCTGCCCTTAGTCCCTTCGGATGACCATTCCCTAGGAATGGGGAGAGAACAACTTCGGGCTGCTGGCAGGCCACAACTGATGCTTGGGTCGCAGATGAAAAGCAGTAATTTGAAGGATGCTGAATTTGGTTTGATGTCTGGTTGTTCTGTGGCTATAACTTGAAAACCTTTTTAAACTAGCTAGAAACAAACTGCTTTTTTTCTTCTCTAAGCTGATGTGAGATACAAATATTTGTACTTAAAGCTGGTACTGTTGAAAATCATATTATGGATCAAAGCATGACTAGAGTGATTTTTATTTATTTATTCTTTTTAGATATGTCAAAGGTACAAGATGATGAGGTTGGTGATGGAACTACATCTGTTACTGTGTTGGCGGCTGAATTACTGAGGGTGATGTATTAAAATTTTTCAGATGTTTTTGCTTGGCACTGTAGTCCTGAGATAGTAATAAGAGTTTGTACTAAGAAGGTTCTCAAAACATAGCAAGACTTCTTACAGTACCATTCAAATTGATAGGAAAAAAGAGATCTTAGATAACACCTGCTAAATCTTTTTGGTGTATTAAACTATATTCCATGCTTTATTACTTTTAACTTCACAACTTTTTGGTACCTTTTTGAAAGTTATTTTCTCTTACTTCATTACGGAAATGCAGTACAAAGGTATCACTGTCACAGCTCACTCTTGGATTGCACTGAGCAGCATGCAGCACTGCTAAGTTTAGTTCTCAAAAATTATTTTCCGCAAAGTTGAGGAGGGAGAGAAATGTGTGTGAAATGCTGCTCCTGTGTGCATGAGGCATGATTTCATGGTGCTTGTTTGAACAGTGCATAGTGAACGTTGGCAAAGATCTGAAAATACTAGGAAAGAGACTTTGAAAGTGAGGAGGAATTCTTGACGTAACTCTTGACAGTAAGTTTAATGGCCATGCTTCCTGGATAGGCATCAAGAACATCTTGATTGTTCAATTTGTTGAGTTCCTTGCAGAAAGGAAATTTGAAGATTTTTTGAACTAACCCTAGAGTTGCAGGTGTAAGTGAATAAGAAATTGCTCTCAAACATGAAGTGAAACATAACTATTATTATATGTGAGTCTGCTTGCTATTCATACATCAGTTAAGATTTATTAATCAAAATTTATGTAAGATGTTCTGAGGACAAATTGTATTTGTCTAGATTGGAAAGCAGCTGTTTATTTGAATCCTTATAGTTGTCTGGCTTCTGTTTATATTCAAAATGTTCTGATTACCCTGAAGTGTCCTTCCTAATTACTCTAAATATATGATGGAAGTAAAATAACTTATTAATTTTATTTAAATAGGAGGCAGAATCACTGATTTCAAAGAAGATCCATCCTCAGACCATTATTGCAGGCTGGAGAGCAGCCACAAAAGCTTCAAGAGAGGCTCTTCTGAAAGCTGCTGTGGATCATGGGTTAGTAATGTACATTTGCAGTAACCCTATGTAAGCTGTTCAAGATTAAAATATGGGAGAGAACTATGTAATATTATTCCTCAAAATGGAATATGACACAGATAGATTCAGGTTAGAAGAAGCAGGGAGACTTCACAGTGATAGGAGAGTGATAGCTAAGGCTTAATGAGTTTCTAATTTAATTGTACTTGCTTTGTTTTAGTGATGATGAAGTGAAATTCCGTGAAGATCTAATGAACATTGCAGGAACTACTCTTTCCTCAAAATTACTCACTCATCATAAAGATCACTTTGTCAAGCTAGCTGTGGAAGCTGTTCTTAGGCTGAAAGGTTCTGGTAATTTGGAAGCTATTCATGTTATCAAGAAACTCGGTGGAAGTTTGGCCGATTCTTACTTAGATGAAGGTAAGTCTTCATGTGAGCTAATGGTGCTCTTAAACAATTTTACATATCTTTATGAAATTTATTTCAGGAAGCATTGCTATGTTGTTATTAAATTGAATAATCAATACAAGTTTTTGGAATAATTTAGATGAACTGTTCTCTTTTAATTTGAAGTCTTACAAGATCTCTCTGCTACTACAGGCTTTTTACTTGACAAGAAGATTGGTGTAAATCAACCAAAAAGAATTGAAAATGCAAAGATTCTTATTGCAAATACTGGTATGGATACAGATAAGATTAAGGTATGTGATGGAACCGCTATTTTGAAATGACATTTTTGTAGAAGTAATTTAGTTTTTAGACTAAACTCTTTGTTTTTTTCAATTCAGATTTTTGGCTCTCGGGTTAGAGTGGACTCAACAGCAAAGGTAGCAGAAATAGAACAGGCAGAAAAGGAAAAAATGAAGGAGAAGGTAGAGCGTATTCTTAAACATGGAATAAACTGCTTTATTAACAGGTATGTATCTTCTTGGGAGAAGGGTAAAGTGTATAATCCAGGTGCAAAGTAGCAACATTTTAATATTGTGCGAGTGTGAAGAACACTTTTTATGACTGTATCTGTAAAATAGTGTCCCATGTAACACTTAACTGATTCATTTTAAAAGGCGAGTTCTTTGTGTCATGTGAACTTGTGCCTACTTTTTAATTGTAGGCAGCTGATCTACAACTACCCTGAACAGCTCTTTGGGGCTGCTGGAGTTATGGCCATTGAACATGCAGACTTTGCTGGTGTAGAACGTCTGGCTCTTGTTACAGGTATGCAGTATGAAATTAGATAAGTCATTTATCGATCTCTATTAATATTAGTGCCTTATGGGCATTTTTTTTTACTTTCTTTTAGCAAATCTAAATGTGAGAGTGCTTAGAAGGAGAAGGAGTTACTTTACAAAACTTTTAAGTACAGACATAAATACAGGATGCTGTGAAGTTGGCTAAGAGTAACTGAAATTACTTTCTTACTTTAAGAGCTGTTGTATAGAATTCAGTACTTTTGCAAGTTCAGTTATTTTCTGTTTGCATTATACTTTACATTTGAAATGTTCATCTTGATTCTGAATCCTCCCTGCATTTTGATTCAAAAATATTTTTCCCTAGCACCTGTGTATAAAGGATTTTAATGCTGTGAAATACAATTTCACATTAGTGTGCTAGCTGGTGTTTTTCTTTAATATTTTTAAAATGTCTATTTTTAGATAAGTCCCTGCTTGATAAAATACCAAAACATTTGCTTTATGGGAGGTAGGAAATGTAAGTTGACACATCTGCAGGTTTGTTAATACTATTTTGTTATAAGTGGCAGTTGTTTGATTGTAGCAAGAGAAAGTCATCATATGTTAAATACTTGAGGTAGACTTCACATAACATGGATAGCTGTGGGATATTTTTAGTAGTGGCCAGTGTTAATGTGACTCTAGTAGCAGTGAAAATTCAGGAAGGTTGAAAGTGATTCTAGTTGTCTGAATTACTTAGCAGTAGTTAACTGGAGCGCAATCAAAAGCTGGTTACTAAAGTAGTCATGAGAATGGAGAATTTGCTTTGCAGGGAGAAAGAAAAAGATACTGTCTTAGTAAAATTAGGTTAGTATAATTAGTTACATTTGTGTGGAACTGTTTGTGGGCAACCTGATGCCAGCAAAGGCTTCAGTGAGAGGAACGTTGCTTAGGCTTGAACAAATGCAGAACAGGTTTTACAGTCAGAGCAGCTGCACCGTACAGAATCACACAGTATAGCTGAAAAATTCAGATAAGCTTTTTAAGCCTCAACTTTCTACCTGCGAATATTGTCTTGCCTTAGACCACTCGAACTACAGAAACACCCCAAGCTAATGAGGAGCAGATGTATATAAACGGGGAATTAATATATGTAAATGGTCTCCTAAAGACCACTTTAAAAGTGGAAGAGAAAAGTATTAGAGCAATAATCCATTTAGAGCCAATTTGTTCCTTCTAATACCCTCATTGCTTACATGGTGGGAGTTGATCAGTTTATGAACAGCATGCTGGGTGGCTGCTAGAACATACCAGCAGGCTCTCAATTCAGGACTGTCGTGGCAAATCTTTCTCAGCCACGTAGCTGAGCAAGCAAAATGAATGCTGGCCCCAACCCAAGTTTATAAACATGCAAATCGGGTTTAATATTTTATAAGTAATTCATCTGTTAATACTGTTAAAAATCTAAACAGATCATGTTTGTTTACATTTCAGTACTGGTAAATGTCAACACAGTCTCATCCAGAGAGACTTCAGAAGCATTACAGCTGTTGTAGTTCTTATGACATAAAAACAAAACACTGAAATTTTAAAGACTTCTGCTGACATTGGAAAAAGCTTGGCCTGTCAGTACTGCTACCTTTATTTTTAGGCAACTATGAAAATGACTTTCTTTTCATTAGATTTTGGTTTTCTTGGTTAGTCTCTGCCTTAGTGGATGCTTTTATCTTGAGCTCAATGACTGTAGTGTGATATTTGTAGGTGGTGAAATTGCATCCACCTTTGATCATCCTGAGCTGGTAAAACTGGGAAGTTGCAAGCTTATTGAAGAAGTCATGATTGGAGAAGATAAACTCATCCATTTCTCTGGGGTGGCTATGGGTAAGTGTCTTGCCCTTAGTGGCCT